GACACATTCCCTGCTCTGAATAGCAAATCCAGTACAGATTTAGAGACTATTTTAACATTTAATTTAGATCTGATTGCACGCATGGGTGAGATTCAGTTTCACATCTGTTTGCAGATGTTTCCAACAAATTTCCAGCTAAAAACATGGATGAAAACAATTCAAATCAGCAGCCGGGGTAACATCAATGCATTGTCTTTTTCTTGTGCATCATTTCATTTCATTTATTTATTTTGTTTCACACATGGTACAGCAGTAATTCATTTCCCATACACAACCTTCCTTTCAATTAAAGTAACAGTGTTTCCATGCATGAAAAGGAGCAGTAAGAAGAATAAATTCTTATTGACACCTGCCCCCTATCTGTGATAATACAAGTAGGCAACCAAAATTACACTTTGACAATATTCTGCACATAATAAAACAAACCAAACAGAACAATATACTCAACAATGAGCAATACCACTAAATATCAAACTAAAAGGATAATTTTTTCTACAATTAAATTCTATTAATTTCAACTTCTTCATACTGGTTTATCGTTTTATTCTTATTGCAGATTTTAAATTGAGAAAAATTTGTACAACACTTAAGATGATCACTAAGAGAATTCCAGTTTCTTATGTCTATGACTGTTGGACACATTTGCCTTTGTGTGGTTCGAGCAAACTGATGCTTAAAATAAAACTTCCTTCTGCCGTCCCCATTTTCTGAACACAATACAAATAAACTTTGTAACTTAAGAGGTAGTGTTTTATTTTTTGCCCTAAACATAATAATTAATGTCTGTAATTTCACTATATCTTCTAGTTTTAATCATTTCAATTTTATAAACAAACTATTAGTGTGTTCTTTATATTTAACATTATGCATAATTCAAATCGCTCTCTTCTGTAATAAATATAATGGTTTCATATTAGTCACGTATGTATTCCCCCATACTTCAACACAATAACTCAGATAGGGTAGAAACAATGAAAAATATATTATTCTCATTGTCTTGTAATCTAATATATATCTTACATTACCCATGTTCAATATGAGGTTTCCATGTTAACTTGTCATCCACTATTACACACAGAAAACGGAATTCTGTGACTCTTTCAATTAATACTTCCTCTATAGATAAAACTATCTCTTCCTCCTTTGCACGGTTTCTTATTTACATCAAACCATTTTTTAAATTTTTTTCATTTCAGTAACCATAATTTTAATTCTTTCAAGTTTTCTCTGGAACAATAAAAAATTGTATTGTCTGCAAACAAAACAAAATTCAACATTTTTGACACATCACAAATGTCCATTATATATAAATTAAAAAGTTTTGGTACTAAAACAGAACCTTGAGGGACCCCCTATTCTATTTTCATTCTATCAGATGAATTGCCTAAACACTGCACATACTGAAACCTATTATCTAAATAACTGCTTAACCAGTTCAATACTATTCCTCTCACACCATAAGTACTTAACTTAGAAATCAAGATGGAGTGTTGCAGAGTGTCAAAAGCTTTTTTTTTTAAATCAATGAATACCCCTATAGTATATTTATTATTATGTGTTGCTGATGAAATGTCTTCAATAGTATTCATTAATGCTATTGTTGTTGATCTGTTCCCTCGAAATCCGTACTGACTTTCACTTAACAGTTGATGTTTTTCAATGAAACTATCAAATCTTTGTGCAAAGAGTTTTTCAAGCACTTTAGAAAACTGTGATAGCAATGATACTGGTCTATAATTATTAAAACTATGTCTGTCTCCTGATTTATAAAGGGGGATAAGTTTTGCCACTTTCATTCGGTCAGGAAATACACCTGTATAAAATGAGAGATTAAAAATATAACAGAGAGGTTTGATTATGCAATCTAAAGTCTTTTTTACGATGACCATATCTAACCCATCACAGTCTGTCGATGTCTTGTTTTTAGATTTTGCTACAATAGCTATGATTTCTTTTTCAGTGATTTCCCCTAAAAACATAGACTGTACCACTATCTCCTTTCCATTCATCATTCCATTCTGAATCATTCTGTTTTCTAATTAAGTTTGCCAGGTTAGGCCCAATATTTACAAAAAAATAATTAAATTAATTTACCACTTCATTCATATCACTTACGACCTTATTTTTCTTATTAAAGTAAGTAGGTAAATTTAAAGATGTATATTTATTACCCAATACGTTTTTTAAGATATTTCACGTACCCTTAACATTATTTTTGTTTTTGTAAAATAATTTATTATAATACTCTTTCTTAGCCTTTCTGATAATTAATACTAACTTATTTTTATAAACTTTATATTTCATTTCAGGAGGCTTTCTTCTAAGTTTTATATAATCTCTATACAGTTTATTTTTCTTTTTACATGCATTTTCTAATCCTTTTGTTATCCATGGTTTACCAGTAGTTTTCTTTTTCTTTTGCTTATATAATACCAGTGGACAGTGATTTTCATACAAAACCAAATAAGTATTTAAGAATGCCTCGTATGCAGCATTGACGTCATTTACATAAACCTCATTCCAATCTTCTTTCATAAGATCTTGCCTGAACTCATTTATTGCATCATCATTTCTAATTCTTATATATCTGTCCACACACACACTTACTCCTTTCGTGTCATTTTATAATCTAAAGTAAAAAAAATAGGTAAATGATCACTTGTGTCATTTATGACAAGACCCCTTATAATGTTGCTTTCCAAGCAATTAATGAAAATGTGATCAATTGAAGTAGCTAACTTTTCAGTTATTCTACTAGGTTTAGTAATCAGAGGGTAGAACCCTCTTCCAAATAATAACTCAAAAAATCTGATGCTGCCTTATGATTGGACATTTACAAAAAAAAAAAATCAATATTATGATCATTGCAAATACAGAATGTCTTATTTCTCTTTACCTTGCTCAATAAATCTTCTACTACATCTGTGAATGTTTCTATCAGTGTCCCAGGCCTCCTATACATACAAGTAACAATTATATTACTCTTTCTTTCCATTTCTATTTCTACTTTGACACACTCCATTAAATCATCAATAGCCACAGACATATATTCAACCTGTTTACATTTCAAATCACTATCATCAAAAAGTGCCACACCTCCTGCCTTCTTATTAGATCTATTTATATGATATAATTCATACCCATCAATGTGAAAGTCCCAACCCCGTTCCTCATCTACCCATGTTTCTGATAGTGCTATCACTTTAAACTTGCCTTTCAGATTATTCAAAAAATCATTGATCAGAACAAAACTTTTATAGAGGCTTCAACAGTTGAAATGAATTAATGAAAATGTATTGCCTAAGTCAACATTATC